CAGCACCAACAGGATCACTTAAAAATAAAGGAAATGGGGTACACATGCTCCTGAGATGAAAAGAAACCTCCTACAAATACTATGCAAGAGTTCCGCTGGTCCAGCTAAACAAGTAAAAGGAACTACATAGAATTACTGGAAGCCCAAAGTAGAAAAATTCTGTCATCACTGTTAGACGTCACTACTGTCAGTAAGAATAACTACAATGGATTTTAAGGGATATGGGAATACTCTGGCAAAACAAAAAAGAAAACGTATTCACAGCTTGCTCTGTAAGAAGCTGCTAATCTCAAATCCCTTTGTAATTTCTTTTTTACATGTATGCTTTTATGTTCAATATCATATTTTTTGCCCATTTTGGGCTGGATGAATAAAAAAGCCAACAATCCACTCATGCATCAAACAGATGGTTTTATTTTTAAGGCCAAGTGGAATCTTAGGAGTTTCTGTGCCCTCCCTTGAAGACGATGCTGCCAGAACTGCTGAAATCAAGAAGCCCGGCGTCTTGGAAAAGACTCACTGGACCATCAGTTGTGGAACTTTGACTGGCACTCGTGGGATTCTTGCCGACTGTAATTGCTGTTTTTGTTTATGTAGGATTGTCTACTGATTGGGCTGTAATCAATTTAATGACTTCAACATCTAGTCAGTATAATTTAGAGGTGTGGGGCGGGTGGGGCAGGGAGGGGAGACAGTCACTGGGTGATAGATGAACAGAAAAGTACAACTGGAACTGTCGGAAGGAGGTATGAATGTCCAGCACTGCCTGGGCATCTCCAGCATTTGCAATCATCGGGCTTTTTCACGGTCCCCGGCCAAGAGTGAAAGCATACATTGTTTGTGGCACAAGAGAGCATGTGGCCCTTCGGATCATGACAATCCACCTTCTCAACAGTAAATGAAACGGACCTCGGGTTATACTCCAGCTATAAAGAAAGAGTGTCATGCTTAGCCTCTCGAAATGAATTTTGATAGAAAAGCCATATTGCAACTTTTAGTTAAAAGGGGAGAAAAATGATACTGTCTTTACATGCCAAATTCAAGGCTTATTTTTTTCTCCCCCCGGCCCCCTCCTTTACCATGGCATCATTTCCAAAACCCAAACTTCATCTCTAGAGAGGGGGTTATTTTTCTGTCTAAGAAATTAAACAGTTGGGGTATATCAAAACCACTCTTGCTTATAGTCTTATGTAGAAGGGGCTTCAAAAAAGTTCATGGAAAATGGTATTAAAATATAGTAATTTTCCCATGAACTCTTTGGGAAAAAGCCATATATATACATATATACATTAAAGCCTCCCCACCCCCACTATATATTAAAATTCACTTGTCTACCCATAAGAAAGATATATTTTGACTTTTTAAATGTGCTCAACTGAGGATTCGAGGATATAATGTTACTAAAGTTTAGGGACCTATACAAAATCCCTGTGGTGGCTTTTTTAACACCTACCAATTCTCAGAGTTTGGCTGCTAGAGAATATAACCTAACAGACAGCTTTTGTGACTCTGGAAGGGGAGCGGATTAAAATCCATCTCCTTTTCATTCTATGAGCTACATGGCTTCTTTAAATTGAGAGCTGGATTCTGCCACACTTCCTTATATTTCTAAACAAATTACTTCTTAAAGGAGGGGGGGAAAAACCACTCATGAAGTACAAAAGAAGGTAAATGGGAAAAAGGTGAGTCACAAGTGTGATAATTTCAACATGTGCCAAGTTACAAAAGGTTAGATATTTTGACCGCCAAGTTAAACAAGGCACATTGGGGGCTTTCTTCCAGGTTCGCCCACCCCCCTCTAGAGGTCCCTGGTATGGGTTTATGAACACCTGAGGGTCCAGCTACCCTCATTGTGTCCTGTGTTTAACTTGGCCATTTAAATGACTAAGTGCTCCCAGCTCTCCTCCCCAGCTTTATAACTTGGCTCAGATGGAGTATCTTACACCTTTAGGTAGTAGACCACGTTTTCCTTCTTACGTTGCCCTTTTTGGGGGAGTAAATCTCAAAACGAATTTTTATTATCAGGTAAAATGGCCAAGAAAGTTCCATCGAAGGAGCACCATAAGAGAGAATAAAAAGCCAGCAAGGAAAAAAAAAAAAAAAGGTCACAATTGACCAATTTGATGCAACTGATTTGCTACCTCTAAAAACCACCTGACAGCAGAATTATTTCCAGGCAGGTAATCTAGCCAAAGACTACCTCTGCCCTCTGCAACAGAGACAAATATCCAAGTGACACAAATAGGGGAGATGCGGTGACTCTCCCAGTTACTATGTGACTATCCTTCCCCCACATACTGGTCCTGCCTCTCCGTTTCATGGAACAGAAACTGTTAAACCTGAACATTTGTGGCATAAAGGCAAAGTCAGATGTGTTGAATATATACGCATGCTGGTAGAATTCTGAAGCTAGGGCTTTGAGGAGGAGTTATGTTTCAAAAGCTATTTCTCAGTTTTCACGAAGGCAAACGAAACAAAAAAATCTGTTTGTTGTTGAACAGTCTAAGTGTGTGTGTGACAAGAGGTCATCAGACTAAGCAGGGCACACCCCACTGTGGCCAGAAAGCTAGCAGTCACTCCTGGAAGGTTGTACTGGTAGGGCAATTATTAGCCTAAAGTTTGCTGCAGACCAAAAAAAAAAGCCTGCATTAATTCTTAAGAAGTAGTCAGTGACATTACTGATCCAAAGTACTAAACTTAGCCGAATTCAGAAAATAAATTCCCGTTAGCAGATTGGTCCTGGCTGCTCTGATTTTTAAGCATCTGGCTGAAAAATAAAAACTACAAACTTGACTGTCATTTTGTTGTAATGTTTCTACCTGTTTTATGTAAACTACTCCCCTGATACCAGTTTCAAATTATGATATCAAAAGTGACAGCCATATCAGAAATATCTTTTAGACCTTGCTAAAAAAAATACTATGTCTGTACAGATAAGTTGGAAACCGGATGCAGAACTTCGTGTTTCACTGAGGACACAATCCATTTCCATGGTTTCCAAAGCCTTTTTCAAGTTGCCTTAGAAAGTAATCTACAAGGTGATGAAATCTACTAACAACAATGTTGTCTCCTAGTTTCAAAGCTACTGATCACTTTTTAGAAGAAAACAAAGCAAGGCTGCCTTTCTATGCCTGCTGAAATGAGCAAGTGTTACTAATTGCTGATTATTATTATTACTATGTCAGAATATTTGTCAAGATACCACCTTCCTGTTTTTTCTGTAATCCCAGGGAGATCCTTCCAGAAGACACAATAGACATAATGCATACACTCAGGAGGTCCTTAAAACACGTTTTAAAAAATGGGGGATCCTTCCAGGAGGGCTCAGGGAAATCATAATCCTGAACATGACAGATATTAACAAGAGCCACCCATAATGCCATTCTACCTCTCCAAAACCGTTTGATACAGTTCACCTAAATGTGCGTGTGTGTGTGTGTTGTGCTGTGTCTTCCAGGCAAACCCGTACCCTGAAAAAAACAGGCTCAAGAGGTTATACTCTTTTCATTCCTCTCTTCAGCTCTTCACCCCCAAAGTGCAGCGAGCCCCCAAAGGCAGTCTCTCTTCTGGGAGTCATCCAAGCAGCTGATGGAGGACAACACGGCTGAGCTGGGAGCCCACAGAGAAAATGGAAGCTAAATCTTTGTTTTTAATGTAAACATTTTATTTAGAGCCTGGCAATTGAGACACAAATGCTGAGTCTCCAAAGAGCAGACATTAGAATGTTTGGGCAACCAGAGGATGTAACAAAAGAAGGAAATGCTCTCTTCTTTGCTCATTTTCACCTGACACGTTCTCAGCCCAAAAACTGCCCTGTCCCCTTGTCAAGGCATTTAGCATTTCGAGTTATGTAAGAGCACTTCGAATTCCGCCAACCCAGGCTTTCACTTCTGCCCTAAAACTACATGCAGGAGAATAAAGGCTCCTTAGGAAACCCAGGACAGGAGCATTCACAATCAATGGAACTTTCGCAGTGAATTCATTCCAAAAGGCAGGTGAGTGAAATGCTTAAGAAGCTGTAGGGGAGGCAAAACTACCAAAGGTCCAAACTTCAATAAACTTTTTTCATTAAAAAAAAAAAAAAGCCTTCCCAATTTCTGCCCGAGATTTCGAAAGTCTTTCAGAGCTCTTTAAATGGGGTTGACACCAAGCGCTATCCTATTGAACTCGGAAAGTTCTCCTTTCCAAGTGACTTCAGGAACAAGGTTTTTCCTGGTCCTTCCCTCAACATTACTTCTAAGGAGGCAAAGTCTCTTCTGGAAGCAAGGTCCCCCAACTGGAGCGTCTCCACGGTTCCCCGGACACCCCCACATGCCCCTGGCGTGACTTTTCCACTAACCACACTTGAACCCAACAAGCCCCCCGGTGGAGGCTGCTTTTCCATAAAATGTGTGGCCCAAGTGAATGTAAATCGCCACTACGCTCTTCCCCCGCCACTACCATTCCCCCCCCCCACCCAACACACACACACACACACACACACACACACAAAAACCTGTGTTAGAGATGCAAGTCAATGAAATACCCTCGTTTTCGAACTAAAACTCAGGGGGGGTAAAAGAGAGCTTTTCAATATGTGAGGCCCTCCCCCACCCCTGCCCTTCCCAAGAGAAGAAAGGGCTTTGTGTGCACGGTAAGGGCTCCCTTAATCGAGTTCATAAATACACCGCGGCCGGGGGCCGGGCGAGCGAGGCGCCTGGGTGCGGGCGCGGGCCCGCTGTCTGCCATCATCCCCGGCTCGGCGGAGTTGGAGACCGGAGGGCAGGCGCAGGGCACCGGCGCTGCAGCTGGAGCGGGCGGCGGGACCGGGACGCGGAGGAGGAAGAGGATGCTGCGCCCCCGGGGACCACAGGGCGGGGCCGGGGCGCGCGGACCTCAGCGGGACCCCGCCGGGCGCGCAGGCCGCCTTTGTCCTCCTCCGCCTCCGGGGTCGCGGTGCCGGCGCTGCCTCCAGCTGCCCCCGGCCCCTCTCCCCTGGCCCGCGCCCGGCCTGCCCGCACCTCCTCCGGTGCTCGTCCTGCCCCGAGCCCCGGGCCCTGCGGGCACCCGGCCTTGCAGCGCCGGACCTCCGGGCTCCCCACGGCCGCCGCCCCCGGTTTCCTCGGAGGAGGCTCGGGAAGGTGGAGGAGGAGACGGCCGGCCGAGGAGGAGGAGGAGGAGATCGACACGTGACTCCCTTCGCCACATTCCAGCACTGCCACCCGATCAATAACTTCAGGGCCCCCGCCCCCACCGCAGCCAACTCGTGCGCCCCCAAATCCCCACGCGCAAACTTCACTCCCGGCGGAGCGAGCCCTGTCTAGACAAAAATAAGCAGAGCACGGGGGCGGCGGGCAGGAATAGGGGTGAGGGGCGCCCAACTTTCTGGAAGCCGCCCATGCGGGGACTGTCGGGCCCAGCGCGGGGCGCGGAGTCGGAGCCTGCGGGCCGGGCGCGGGGAAGGCGAGCGGGGCGCGAGCGCGGAGGACGCGGCGGCGGCCACGCGAGTCCTCCGCACCGCTGCCTCCCCGCTCCCTCCCCGCTCTCCGCGAGGACTTTTCTCTTCTTCGGAAGAAAGCACGGGAGAAGCGCCGCACAGTTTGGCATCTTTATTCTTCGCGAACACACAGAACAGAAACTTTTTCCTCCAGCCCAGACGAGGACCGGGGTCTCTGCCGGCGGCGGATTTGCCCTTCTCGCTTCCTTTTCTTCCTGCACCCCACCCCCTCCGTTGACTTTCCTTGCCCACTTTCTACCGCCGCCCCAGGCGGGGATCCTCCTCCCGCGTTGCCCCCCCTCCAGCCCCGACACATCACCCTCACTCCACCTGGGGGATCCACAGGGGAGGGGAGCGCGCGCGCCCCCGCACTCACACTCACGCGCGCACACGCCTCGCGGCCACGCAGCCCTCGCTCCGCTACCCACAGTGACACTCACGGGTGGGGGGGATA